ATACCTTTCCCAAGGGTATTAGCTCATAAGTTAATTTTAGTCAGTTGTGTACCATACGTGATACGGAGAGAAGAGGATTCCTGCATTTACCATGGGTATTAGCCCGTAAGTGAATGCAATGGATTCGACTGGAAATCGAACTCGGATCTCCGATTCCTCAAGCTCTTCATTACCTCACCGTGCCCTTCGTTATATATAGATGTTATTAAGATTTTGATACAAACTGTTTCATGTTGTAAAAATCATATATGCAATAGATGTTTTCTTAAGCCCTTACTTCTATCAAAACTTTTATAGATGGGGATTTTAAAATATATGTTTTCTAGTAATTATTATTCTATTCTTGTCTAACAGAAAGTTAGTCTTTTCAGTTCCTGGCTTTATATGAATTCTTCGCCATTTCATGTGGGTGTCGTCAGTGAAAGGGAGATAACTCTATCAAGAAAAAGATTATAGACAGTAGAAAGTGAAAAAAAAAATTAAGAATGTTTACAAATGCGCCAAGCGATTTATTGGATTTTCATTTTTAATTTTCTACAAAGCTGGGACAAAACAGAATCAGAAGGAAAGAGACAAAAGTGATAAAAAAAATCGTGAAAAAAAAAGAAAAATAAATAGAATAAGGATTTGCTAAACTTTATACGAGGATAGATATACAGTTAGTTTTTTTTTTTTTTTTTACAAATTTTGGCTTTTTATGCTTTCGAGGAATTTCGCTCTTTGTCAAATATTTTAACCCATCCTTAAAATAAGGACGTAATTGAACAATCAACTTAAAAAGAAAGCAATTTATCGGGTCATGATTGCTGCTGTGTTTATATAAAGGGATTGTTCATCTAATCGCAAATAACCTGTTGCTATATTCCTGTCAGGCAATATATATATATATATATATATATATAATGATGATAAATGTCCGACTATTATTTTAATATACTTTTTGTTTATATGTTATTTACAGGAAAAATATTTAAGTAAATCCTCTGTTTAGTCTTAACTTCATTTACTGGCCTCAATGTCCGTGAAATTTTATAGAAGGAATATAGAAAATATGTGTCCTCTGACAGGCATCGAACCTGTATCCTACATGGAACCGGCGTGCTATACCATTTAGCTACAGAGGAAGCGCCTGGTTATCAAAATCAAATTACTGCTTTTAACAAAAAAAATTCCCTTGATTTTCTCTCGAATGCTCATATCTGCTCGAAGCATGCCTTAACGTAAACAAATAACATCATATATTATGAAATGGACTAAGTCCGACAATTATCTTAATATATTTTCTGTTTATGCATTATTTTTATAGATACAAATATTTCAGTTAATTCCCTGTTTATAATAAACAGTATTAATTAAATTTACCGGCCTGAATAACTGAGAAATTTCCTAGATAAGGACACATATTTTCTATGAAATTTCTCGTACATTCAGGCCGGTAAATGCAATTAATACTGTCTATTACATAATACACACAAACAGACGCACACACACACATATATATATATATATTTGTGTCTGTGTATGTTGGGTGTAAATAATCATAAAAATGTTTTTCTCGTCACGTGTTATACGAATGTGCTAACTTTATTGCGCCAGTCTTCGCCGTGATTCTACATGTATTTTTTCTCCTTATATCTTTTTTTAAAATAAAATTACATTTTCCTCTCATGTATGTGCAGGTAAGTGAAATCCATTCCCGTAATGATAAAAATTCAATCAGGAAGTCAAACTGCTAAGTGTATGTTCCCATATAAAACACTTCACAGAAAAATCAACCCCGAAAAGTAAGCGTAATTTCTCATAAAATTCTCAGTGGTTTTTTTTTCGAATTTATCTCATTATTATTAACATTAGTAGTAGTAGTAATCGTAGTAGTAGTAGTAGTAATCGTAGTAGTAGTAGTAGTAGTAGTATAACTAGTAATATTAGGAGGAGGAATAAGAGTAGCCGTAGTCATAGTGCTGTTGATAGTGTCTATAGTATTCACTCATTGTGTGTTCACTCCAGTAATCATTGGATGTTTACACAGGGGTGTCTTTGTTGAATTCATCCTTATTATTATTATTATTATTAGTAGTAGTAGTAGTAGTAGTAGCAGTAGTAATTGTTGTTGTTGTTGTTGTTGGTAGTGGTGGTGGTATTGGTCGTCGTGGTTTTGTTTTTGTCGTTAGTTTCCACCTAATGTGTGTTCATTCCAGTAGTAATTGGAAGCATGAACTCATAATATCTTTCTACCATTTCCATATGCAGCTGCTTTCCATAATGCTATAGTTTGTATATCTCCAACTCTTCTCCTGAATTCCAATTCTTTCAGACCTCTATCTAAGGTCTTTGGGACAATTTCCAGTACTAGGTTTACGACTGGCACGACGATTACCATAATTATTCAAAACCGAGTGATCTCTGTGTCAAGGTCAAGATACTTGTTCCCGTTTTTCAGATTCATTTTCTTGTTTATAAACAAATCACAAGCTTATTCTCTCGGGAGGGTTCTATTTTGCGTATAGTTTATGCATTTGAATTTTCAAAATGCTGTTGCTTTCACAGTTCCCAGGGAATAAATATAGATGCATTTTTCTAATTGTATTTGTAGACAAAAAAAACCCCTACGAAATGAATATTCTTTGCATTGTGATTAGATTGTTATGGTATTGGATTTTAAAATAATTGAATTTTACTCGCTCAATTTACATTTCACCAGATTTTGAATTAGGACACTTTGTGTCCTCCAAATGCTTTGACAGACCTTTCACCCACCTGATAAACATACTTGAACATTTTCAAATTTAAAAGATTTTATAAGCCAAAAAAAATCTTCATCTCTTTGTATATAAACACGTACAGCGTAATAAATCCTGAATTGCCTGCACGTCTATATAAACACTTGAAGCATAATAAATTCTGTATTGCCTGCACGTGTAGATAAACACCTGAAGCGTAATAAATCCTGTATTGCCTGTACGTGTATATAAACACGTGAAGCATAATAAATCCTGTATTGACTGCACGTGTATATAAACACGTGAAGCATAATAAATCCTGTATTGCCTGCACGTGTATATAAACACTTGAAGCGTAATAAATTCTGTATTGCCTGCACGTGTATATAAACACTTGAAGCGTAATAAATTTGTATTGCCTGCACGTAGATAAACACCTGAAGCGTAATAAATCCTGTATTGCCTGCACGTGTATATAAACACGTGAAGCATAATAAATCCTGTATTGCCTGCACGTGTATATAAACACTTGAAGCGTAATAAATTCTGTATTGCCTGCACGTGTATATAAACACTTGAAGCGTAATAAATTCTGTATTGCCAGCACGTGTAGATAAACACCTGAAGCGTAATAAATCCTGTATTGCCTGCACGTGTATATAAACACGTGAAGCATGATAAATCCTGTATTGCCTGCACGTGTATATAAACACTTGAAGCGTAATAAATTCTGTATTGCCTGCACGTGTATATAAACACGTGAAGCATAATAAATCCTATATTGCCTGCAGGCGAGGCACCACGAGGTGGTTTAATGGTTAGCAAGCTTATCTCACTGGAACAATTACGACTGAGTAGTGAGTTCAATCCTTACTGGGTGAGTACCCCTTACTTTCGGTCTTGTGCCATATCGAAGTTACGCTCGCAATATCAATATATGGCCTCCTCGGCGTGGTGTAATGGTTAGCCAGCATGTCTCGCTAAAACAGTTACGAGTTAATAGTGAGATCGATCCTCACTGGACGCATTATAATTTCGGCCTTGTGCCACATCTAAGCTACTCTTAGAAAATCATTAGGGCACCTGGAGGTTAGCAAGCTCGTTTTGCTAGAACAATTACGACTGAGTAGTGAGTTCGATCCTAACTGGGTATTCTATATTTTCGGCCTTGTGTCACATATGAGTTACGCTTGAAAAATCACTATATTGCCTGCACGTGTATATAAACACCTGAAGCGTAATAAATCCTGTATTGCCTGCACGTGTATATAAACACCTGAAGCGTAATTAACCCTGTATTGCCTGCACGTGTATATAAACACCTGAAGCGTAATAAATCCTGTATTGCCTGCACGTGTATATAAACTCGTGGAGCGTAATAAATCCTATATTGCTTGCACGTCTATATAAACACGTGAAGCGTGATAAATCCTATATTACCTGCACGTGTATATAAACACGTGAAGCATAATATATCCTATATTTTCCCCCAGAGAACGAAAAGCATCGGCTAAGTATAGGTTTTCCTCTTGTCTCATTTTATTCATTTTGTCTTTTCTATAGATACATTCCATCTGAGAATATTTACACACACGCACATTATATATATATATATACATATATATATATATATATATATATATATATATATATATATATATATATATATATATATATATATGTGTGTACACGAATAACTTCTCTTTAACTAGAGATAAACTAAAACTATACCAATCCTCACTTATTTTCACATTCAATTTCTCTCTTTATTTCCGGCATTTACGAAATGTGTCCTGACATGTATGTAATGAACGTTTTACCTATTCAATGCTGTCCATTCTAGCGTTTTACAGATCCATATATAATGTCAACATGGCGTTTGTTACCTGATTTGATGCTTCCATCTGTTGTGGACATCGTTGGAAGGGAGAGGACGATTGGTTATCGTGCAAATATGCTGTCGAAAGCTTCACTACGTAGGGCCGGACTTAATTATCAACCCTCAAAATATTTTATGGATTATAACACACTATTTTTTTTTGTTTAATTTAAACTCAGTTTTTAATGAGTCGAGTTTGCTCTGGAATCCAAACTATTGTTATAAAAAGGATTTCCAACAAGTTAGTCATCACTTATGGTTTTCAGAAAGAGTTAAATACACGATCGCTTTGCAATCCTATGTATAGACTGACCCATCGGATACTTGGTGACAGAAGTATGACAGACTGAAAAACGAAAGAAAGACTGAAAGACGAAAAAATAAGAAAGAAACTAAGAGAGCTAGAAAGACAAAGCAAGGAATGAGAGACGAAAAAAAAAGAAAGAGATACAAAGAGAAAGACGAAAGAATGTAAGAAAAAGAAAAAGGGTCAAACGAATAAAGGAAAGAAAGATAAAAAATGCAAGAAACAAAATGAACGAAACAAAAAGAAATACAAGTAGACAAATGAAAGAAAGACAAAAATTAATAGAAAGAAAACGGAAAGGATGCAAGAAAAATATGATAAATGACAAAAAAAGAAAGGAATGCCAAAGAAAAAGAAAGAAAATGAAAAAGAAGCTGAAAGGCAATACGACGAAAGAAAGAGTAAAAGAAGAAGAAGAAAAAAGCATTGCAATAAAGAAAAAAAAAGTAAAAAATGATATGAGGAAGGGAGAAAGAAAAATACGAAAAGAGAAATGAAATAAAAAACAGACTATAAAAATGAAAGAATAAAACAAATATGTGAAAAACGAAGAGCAAAAAGAAGAAATACGAAAGAGTGTAAAATGAGAAAAAGAGAAATGAGAGAAAGGCAAAAGATAGGTGAATGAAAAAAATGAAGAAGGAGGTACGAACGAGTATTAAAAAGACAAATGATAAACGAAAAAAGACGATCGTTTGGCTTTTCTAAATATTACTATTACAGATCAAATGAGTATTTTCGTATTTGCCTTAATGATTGTAAATGAAACAGGTTACACTGTAAACCAACAGTCCCCAACCATTTTGCGCCATGACCCGGTTGTTATGAATAATCAAGAGTGGTCTCCCCTTGTTTTGGGACTCTCCTCTTTGAGAGAGAGAGAGAGTTATATCTGTTTACTAGGACTTATAAAAGGACACTATACGCGAACCTTGTATTCTCCGTCGAATAAAGCTTTCTTACCTGTGTACATTTGTCATTACACTGGTGCCATGCAATACAATTTTTCCATTTAACGGTGTCGGGGCTGGGTGTCCGTTACGCTTGTGAAAAGTTACAATAAACCAGACTGCGATAGTCAATAAAATGGAATTTCTGTTTTGTGCGTCTCGGTATCAAATGGTCTTCGCGTCAGTACCGGCGGTGAGGACCGGTGCTGTAAAGGGATGGGAAAATACATTTCGGGTACAAGGTGTGTGTGTGTAGTGTACGTTATGTCTTCAGATGTGCAAAGGAATCCTCCACCCAAATATATAGTCAAATTTCATTGGATTTTCTTCGTGTTAGTATTTCATGTCAAATGAGTATCTTCGTATCTCTATCTATAAAAGGCAGGATGTGTTTGTGTGTGTAACGAATGCACGGCCGCAATTTTCGACGGATTTGCACCAAAATTTACATGCACATGCTCCAAGTTAGCGGGAAGGTCAAGATCGACTTTGCATTTCCCAACTCCCATCGATAGTAGAAATAATCGATTTTTTCATGCTTCCACGGCATTTTGTATTGGCCAGAGTGAGAGCCTATAGCTGGCTGTCACGAATAGGCAGGAAGATTCTATTGGCCAGCGTGAGAGCCAACAGCTGACTGACACGAATGTTACATAGCATGCTAGCATGCAACAAAATCGATAGCTGCATTCGTCACAAGTGGGAAAAATTTAAATCTGCATGGCACTTTACTCCAATTGGCTCATTCGCTTGCTTAAACTCAACGTTGATTCTGATTCCACAGAACTAGGTTGGGTGTGAAAAAGTATTTGTTGTTAACATTCTTTTTCATTCGGTTTTCCAGTTACAAGTCCTTTTTAAAGCTGATCGTTTTGTGTTCATTTTGTTTAGTTCTTTTTGCGTAACAGATTTAATGTTTAGTATAGAGCTTAGAAAAAATTCGCAGTGTGAGATAGGCAAGAAGTAAGGCATGTAGCAACATCAGCACGGCAAAGGGCACTCCTTTAAAGGCAAGGAAGGGCAAAAATATTTTTAGTCAAGTGATAGCGATTGTTGTATGAGTCGTACGATTTTTAAATCAAGCACGGGCAACGCCGGGCCATGCTGCTAGTTTCCCATAATTGTTATATAAATAGTATTCATTATAAAGTGAAGGTAAGATAAATTTCAAATACACTGTGTGGGGTGTCGGGTGTATATTATGGTTCAGATGCGCTACTCCCCACTCTAGCTGTCTTCTCTCTTTTTGTTTTCTCACTGGCTCTCCCATTTTCCCACTGCCCACTTTGGGAGTCATTGCTTTAAAATGACCTTTTCTTTAATAATCCCTAATTTGTCGACACCGCATTTGTCACAAACCAAAAACCCAGATTTCCCTCCTGCAAACATTTTTCATAGTCACTGAAATGGCATATCTCATATAGACTATTTTTATATTCACTGTTTCTAAGGAACAGCGTAAAAGGCAAAATGAACAAAGATTTTCTTTACACTTAAATTCATACCAAAATATAACCTTAACGACCCCTAGATGTGTAGACAAAACCAAATGTATGATCAACCTATTACTGGATTCTCGTGCTGTCAGTATTGTATGATCAAATATGTTTATGGGTTAATTATTGATGACCGAACTTAGTACTCAGAAATAACACTTAACCAGACCAAACATAACCCCCCAATCACAGCACCAAGACGCTCAAAATGTTTTACTTTCTGTTGATCAAGTCTTTGGTTTTTCCGCATAATCTTTAATTAATTGTCAAAGAACGATGATTTGATTTTATTCGAATTCAAATTTTATTATATTCTAACAGTGTTTCCCATAATTTTGGGTATTGACGCCCCCTGGGGTACCATAAGAAAACCCCACACAACAAAATATATAGTCAAACTTTGATTGGATTTTCTTAATATTTTCATTGTATGTCAAATGAGTATTTTCGAATTTTCTATACTAATTATAGAAATATGAATAACTGTAAAGTGAAGTATGTAAGTGTATGTGGCGTAAGTTATAGTTCAGATATGCCACTACCGCTCTCTAGATGTCCACGTATTTTTCCCTGGATTTTTTCATCATTCCCTGTGGGGTGGTACCGCTCAGTCTAGGATTCACTGTTTTACTTGAAGCATTTTTAGTCTTATTATTTTATTACTAGTTTTACTAAAGTTGCTTTCTTTTCAATCTTATCTTTTGTTATTAGTTCTTTCTATTTTCGCTGCTTTGGGATGAAGCATTTTATGTCGTATTTGTGTTTCTAATTTTATATTCCATCATTTAACAGTTGCTGTTTAACATGAAATATTAATATTTCTTATTTCACTGGGATTTTAATATATCCTATTATTATTCGTTAATATTAGAACACTTTATTACAATAAATTTACTGCTAATGTTATTTCTAATTTTACTCTATATCATGATCATTAATTATTTTTTTTTTATCTCGACACTTTTGGTCGATAAACGCGTTATTATTTGGATCATTTTATAAAATATTTACGAACAAGTGAGAGAAAAGACTTGAAAGAGGAACAGAGAAAGTGAGAAAGTAAGAGAAGAGAAATAAAGAAGAAAGAAAGATAGGATAATTGAAGGCAGAAATAAAAAGAACGACATAAGGGAAAATAAAGAAAACAGAAAGACGACGGAATGAAAGAAAGAAAAAAATGGAAGAAAAGAAAGAAGCGAAAAAGACGAAAAGTAAAGAGATTATACGAAAGCAAGATAAATAGTAAAAGAAGTAAAGGTAGCAAGAAAAAAGAAGACAGACGATAAAAAGAAAAAGAGATACGAAGATTGAAGAGAGGTGGGGGCAAGAAAGAAAGTTTAATCAAAGAAAATGGCGGAAACCCAGCAAAAATAAAACGGAATAAAGAATGAGATGAACAAGAAAAATGCCTGAAAGAAAGAAAAACGAAAAAAAAAAAAATGGAACAAAGCAAGAAATAAAGAGGAACAATACAAAATGCAAATGAAGGACGTAGGGGATAAGGAAAGAATAATGAAAAAGAAAAACGACTTAAAAGGAAGAAAAAAAAACAGGATAAAAAAGGAAAGAAAGAGTGAAAAAGAAAAATAAAGAATAGAAAATCAACTACAAATAAAAAAAATAAAGAGACAAAAACAGAATGCAAATAAGGATTAGGGAGGAAATAAAGAAAATAAATAAAAAAGAAAATAAGAACAAAATAAGAGATAAAGAAGAACAATACAGAATTCAAAAGAAAGACGTAAGAAGTAAGGAAAGAATAATGAAAAAGAAAAAACTAAAAAGAAGAAAAAAGACAGGATTAAAACGAAAAGAAAGAAAGACTGAAAAAGAAAAGGAAGAATAGAAAATCAACTACAAATAAAAAAAAATAAAAAGACAAAAACAGAATGAAAAAAAGAAGGAGGGAGGAAACAGAGAAAATAAATGAAAAAGAAAAAAAATGATAATCAAGAAATAAAGAAAAGAAAGATAAAAAAAACTACAACAACAGAAATAAAATAAATAACGAAAGAGAAAGATACTAACAGAAGTGTACTTGTTTTATTTGAAGTTTGCCTGTGAATGGAAGTCGATAGGTTTATTATGAGTAAGTGCATCGAATCCTATAGTTGCCATGATCTATTGGGGCGTGTTAGATTCAGTCTGAAGAGCAGGATTCATCAAAAGATTCTCATCGACTGGATTTCCAACTTAAATTGGCAGCGATATTTATTGAAAACGATTTTGTGGTCAAAACAAAATCTGTGTTGTTTCTGTGCACATTCGCACACAACCTGCTTAATTCATATAGACACAAACACTTATATATATATATATATATATATATATATATATATATATATATATATATATATATGGATAGGTTGGTTCAATATGTATTAATAAATTTCATATGTATAAATGCGCATACGGACATTCGAGCAGACAGTGATATATGGGGAAGGACTGATAAGTCCTCAGACGAACCATTTCCCAAAATAAGACCAAATACTGAAATATTAGAATTTTAAATAAAATATCTTCATGGTTTATTTGAAAACCTTTCATACCCTCTTACACAATCACATTTCTGAAAGTTCTCCACCGCCTTAACTGGGTATTGAACTCACACTTTTTGGGTCCTGTCACTGGATCTAACCAACGCCTTTATCCACTGTGCCATGTGCCCTTGTTTTCAGAGGGGAAATTAACAGGAGATAACTGATAACTGACATCCATTAAACATGGCACGTGGAACTAGAACAGTCTAACCCAGTGAGCGAAATAAAGGGTTCAGTTCGACATTCCAACCACCTGAAGAAGGCGGGAGCGTACAACGGCCGAAACGTTGTAATAAATATGGCGACAAAGATGAGGACAATAGTCCGAATAATGTAAATAATGTACATAATACCTCATCTCAGAAATATAGACAGATATTGAAGGTTACAAGAGGATAACAACACTCAGAAAACAGCTTCGGTCTGTCTATCATATGTGAAGAGATTATCGGAGAAAATACAAAAGATCTGTAATCCATATAACATCAGGACAACCTTTAAAAGTGGTTCAACACTTCGCAGACATCTCTTCCGACTAAAAAACCCCTCATAGTGGCGAACATGACTAAGGACCGTGTGTACGCCATCCTATGCATCGAGGAAAAACAGGCCGCCCCCTTAAGGTAAGAGTGCAAGAACATTATAAATTAGTAACACGAGGGGAAATAGAAAAATCAGGCGCAGCTGACGACATATCGAGAGAGAAGGCAGCTGAACAGATGAGGAAAGTGTGGGATGACTTTGGAATAACAGACAAAGAACATCACTGGAAAATACGAAAACTTAAGGAATCAGCACATATGCTAGGTCACAAAAATCTCCTAAGCTGATCAAGCATAGAAATAAATACAATATTGAAACAATTAATAAGAGTAAATAGCAGGAGAGACCGCGTCTATAGCCTTGGATGACAATGTGTCTACCTCAGAAAGAAATGGCAACCTACTGCGGGAAAAAATCTGCCTCGTAAATCATGTATCGAAAGATACATGATCGCCTAAGCGTGTATCACGCATGGCACATGACTGACTGAATAAGGAGTGCTAGAGAGAAGCAATGAATAGCAACAAATTGTAATATGTACTCTGGTTAAAAATGATAACTGAGACATTACGTTTAATAGTCCCCAAAATTCATACACCGATGTCCTGAAGGGCATATCGTCCGGTGGATCATATCTTTGATTGATGTAATCCAATGACTTGATGCATGGCCACAGCAGAGGTGAACAGTAACACAGAGAGTTGAGTTGATGGGTAATAACTGATACTTATATATCCAAAAGAGGCACAGAACGTGGAACTAGAATGATCTAATGATCTACCCCGCTAAACGATGGATCCTGTTCGAATTCCAATCACTCACTCTGTTCATTATCTATTTATTTCAGTCTGTTCATTATCTATCTATCTATCTATCTATCTATCTATCTATCTATCTATCTATCTATCTATCGGAACTGAAAAAAGATCATGCTATTCAACGAAGGAGTAACGAAATTCTAGTAAATGGCACCTTAGATATTTCAATGTACTGGAGTAGGAAATTTACCGTATCCTCCCTTTAAATTTTTCTAAACGGTTTATAAATCCTGTTTCGGGATCAACATCAGGTGATATTTACGATCGTTTTGATCCTGCTGAAGATCTGCAAAACTCTTCCTTTCCGGAAAACTGACTTCCAAAACAATCGAAATTTAGATGATGGAATGTCTAGCAAATACAAGTGTAATAAAAAAAATAAGAATAATATATTCACCCGAGGTGTAAAATGCGCAATCGACAAATCCAAGATTGCTCGAAAATATCCGGAAAGTTTCTGGCTATTATATTCATTATTATATCTGTTATATACCGTATCTATGAACACTAATGGGTATGTCCAAATCCTCATAAATACGTTGGGCACTATTGTAAGTGGGAATGTCTAAGTAGTGCACCACTAGCAGTGGTTTACCTACTTCACGACGCTGGCGAGTATTGTATTTTGTTGATGTTATAAACATTACTATTTCATTTACTGTTGAAGCTTAAATAAGCATGGAATAATACAACACAAAATGTACGTTAACAAAATGTATTGAAACAAAGAATAGGTACACAATATTTACAGTTAGTTTGGTATATTCTTGGGAAGACTGTTCCTGCATAATGGGTTGACTAAATCGCAGTCGGGCAGAGTCTCTGGATTCAATTTCTTAATCTCTACTATCTTCCCCGTCTTCCGGTACCAACCCATATTTATATGGTCGGTAGTCCGCTTATGTAAATTAGGTGTATCATACACAACATTTACAATCTCCGTTTTGGTTATTCCACATTCAGTTACACTTTCTAGGTTACAACAGACAACAAGAAAGAAAGAAAGAAGGGGTAAATGAAAAATAAAAAAGAGAGAATTGGAGTGATATGTATTTAAAAAAAAAGAAATATAGTGTTATATGCCTTACCTATGAATACTAATGGGCATGTCCAAATCCTCATAAATATGTTGAACACTATTGTATGTGGGGAAAATATGCTGTCTAAGTAGTCCACCACGAGCAGTGGTTTACCTACTTAACGACGCTGGCGAGTATTGTATTTTGTTGAAGTTATAAAGATTACCATTTTCATTTCCGACCTCCATTTTAGTTATTCCTCATTCAGTAACGTTTCCTTGATTACAACAATATCTATTACTATATCTACTATTTTTAAAAATAGCGACATATATATATATATATATATAGTTTAAAATGGAAAATTATAAATAGGACTAGAACGTGTAAAGCTTGGGATGACCAATGCCCTTTGTGCCATGAGAAACTGCACATTATTAAGTTTCTAAATAATAAAAATCTATTAAACAATAGACATGAGTTAACGGTTTTTTGCCGACATCATCAAATTTATGCACTGAATAACTACCTAAAAACAAGCACACAATATCATAACTTTTATAATCCATAGCCCAAATAAATAGTTTAAATACCCTATAAAAAAAGATAACCCTTTATGAAGTCGTCTAAAAATAAATGTTACGGCAGTTTTTTATGCACAAATCCCTTTCATAAAGAAATAAAAAAAAAAAAAAAATCTCCATAGACACGTAAGCCAGACTAGGCTAAAACATCTTCCGTTTCAAATTTAGACACCCCCCACCTTACCCTGACTTGACATCTATGAAAGTAACTCTATACTGATACTTATTATTAACACCCAACACACCCCTAACTATTTTAAACAATTCTCCCTTGCTGTTACCATGGGAATTTTGATTTCAATTATGAATATACTATTAAAACACGTAAATTTCAGAAATAAGTTATTCCAAAAAAAATTTTGCTTGAATATGGAACAGAGCTTACTTTAATTCAATTTAATTCAAATAATTTTATTGAGGTTTTCGGCTCTTGTTTTGAAACATTAGACCTCTTATGTCGCGAGTTGGAATCATATTTTTAAATAAATATATATATATATATATATATATATATATATATATATATATATATATATATATATATATATAACAGTTTCTAGCTATTATTATCATATCTATTATTTCATCCTCATCCCACTAGGTGGCAGATAAAGGATGACAAAGATGAGGACAATAGTCTTTACCTTCCATCTTTTACTGATCACATAGTCAAATTTATTTATTATTTATTTGCCTGAACACAAGCCTTCAACATTTTTGAGTATTATGTTAGTTGTCTGATATTTTTTACGGTTTATCAACACATTGTAGTGCATTAAACGCTGGGATATATTTCGGATTGGAGGAGCTTGATTAGACTATTTGCTAGATGAAGGCCGATAAGAATGTAAATTGCTTGCCATGGAATCCTGGTTAAATTTGAAGCACCGGTATGAAACATTTACCCGCGGATCGTTCGTTGAATAATACATGAAAAGCCATTCGAATTGTTTCCGTTTCAAACTGTAAATATTCTCGTTCAATGCCAGCTCACATCCGTCTGAGAGACTAACGGACACGGAGTACGATACCCACTGATGTGTTGGCAAATAGCATTATCTTTTCAAATCAGAAAATAATCAAAATGGCTGAACACTTCTCGGAAAGAAAACGTATACAATCGTTTAGAATTCAGCTTCATCCCTGCCGTGCGCCAACGGCTTAGTGGTAGAATCCCTGACTGGCGCCAATTTAATCGGGTTTCGAGCTAGAGGCAACCGCAAGTCTAGCCACACTGATGAGCTGTGATACAGCGAAACAGTCTGTCTGTGGATGACAATATAGATGCTCCCGAAAAATTTATTTCGGTTGAGCTCTTTGGGGAGGAAGTGTGAGTTTGTAAACAGTGACTATTACGGCCAATAATGCAAGACTCTTCGGTAAATCGAATTGAGTTCTCTCAGTCACTGTGCGTTTATCTAAAAATAAATACACTTAAAATTCAGCTTCATCCCTGCCGTGCGCCAACGGCTTAGTGGTAGAATCCCTGACTGACCAATTTAATCGGGTTTCGATCCTAGCTAGAGGTTACCGGATGTCTAGCCACACTGATGAGCTGTGATACAGCGAAACAGTCTGTCTGTGGATGACAA